ACGGATTGTGCTCGTTAACCGAGGGACTACTGTACTAATAAATGTTGGAGGTGTGTGTATCGCCTCCCTGCCAGCACCTTGCCTCCCTCCAACTCGCAGTGTCTCACACAAAAGATTTTATGTATGATGTGGTGTTGTTGAGGTATTAATTAATGAATAATAAATAATATTGTATTGTTAATGACAGTACAGTAGTTTGATGAATAGTAGTGACAATTGTAGTACGCTGCTATTCTTCAAACGTCTATCATTGACAATGCAATATTGCTTTTTTATTAATACCACAACATCACACCCAGACACCTAAACACCCCCTATATTGTATGAAATAAATTTATGTGTGGTTAACTGTGGTGGTGAATTAAAAGATCAGCTGTTGTAGAGCTTAGCGCTGGGCAACACTGGTGCATGTCATCACTCCTTTCCACTCCATCTCTCTAATCACCCACAGCTTTCAGCTTTCGCACTCCACATTTTAAATCTTATATAACAATGTTGAAGGGATACAATGTGATAAGTGTAAGTATTAAAAAATACTGTATTTTAGCTTTCCTGTAAATTCAAGATATCTTCAGGTCCTGAGACCTACTAATCCCCCACCCAACAGTGGGTGACTTGACATTGTATCAGGTCAGTAATATGAGACCTCCACCTGACATTCTGTCAGGTCAGGTCAGTTACATGAGATCTACTAATCCACCACAGCTGGATTTGCTCTAACACACAGTTTCATTCACGACCATATCATTTAGATTTTTAGTTTAGACTCTTGGAAAACTCCCCAGCACACAAAAACATTACGAGGTTGTGGGCTAGTGTTTATCTGTGCAAGATGCACAGCTTAGACACTCGGAAAGTTTCTCCAGAAACCGGAAATATTTCCGGGGATGGGGGATTTTTCCTGGTTTGAGAAAGTCATCTGGTTACCCAGAAATCTCTCATCCCCGGAAGTGCTCTGCACCAATTGTTCCGGCTAATGGGGATATCACTGTGTGTGTAATGTCAAGTTCTAAGAAATGTGATCCTTACTAATAATGAGGTTGAGAATAAAACCTGCAAATATTATTTAATCCTTTATTATATACACTGGCATAAAAAATATATATTTTGTACGTAAATAATGTTCCTTGTATAAATTTTTCCCAGGTGTCTTGTAGTTTTTTACAACTGTTTACTTAGCTTGAGCTTCTTTCCAGAATAACTTTATGGCAGGATGACCTTTCTTAGTCACCACCATTGTTCTCTGCTTTTCATCGGAGTATATAAGAACACCTTTACTGGAGGCAAAGTTGGACAACAGGGAGAAGTCATGAACAGACATGAAATCCTTATAGAGAACACCTTCATTGAATTCTAAGCGTTCCCTCTCCAATTCCCACAGCTTTATCTGCCAAAAGAAAACTGGATTAGAAAAAAATAAATTTACTGCTTTAGCTTCACAATCTGTGTAACTGTGATCACACGTGTTACAAAAGTAAACACTGTTCATCATCTCATTCTCAAAGTAATAAATAATTAACAAGTCTGATTTAAAAATTTTACACACCTATTGATGGAAGTCCATTTCTCAGTTAAACATTTGTTAATTGTCACATACACTCACAACAACTTATAACATATCAGCTAAGTGTAAGCTTATATCTATGACCCATTTAAACCTACACATAGAGTATTAATTCTTTTAGCTTTATTTCTCATTAAAATAAAATATTTTATCTTCAGTCAACTGCTAAAATTCTGTGTACAGTATGCAACTACAGCATATCAAAATTATAAGGAACTTATTTGTATAAGTGTGTGAAAGCCTAAGGTAACAGATGGATAACTACAGTACTGTACAGGGAATAATTTTTGTTTTGTTTTCAAGATCATGATTCAAGGGTCTGATCCCGTGCAAGACAAGCCAACAATATAAAAATTCTCTATTTACTTGATCTGCCACTGTACGTGGAACAACTGGATTGTTCTTGAACATCTGCGGGTGACAATGCTGCCTCAGGAAACTTATAATTTGCTCGGCCCCTATACCCTTCAGGAGAGCACGTCGCACACTGCCACGAGAGACACTTGTCACCACCATGTTGGGGAATCTGTAAGTCCATACAAGGAAACTGAAATAATATGTACTATATTTTGTATTTGTACACCTAAAATACTCCAAACACCGGGTACATTTAATGTTTACTACTTTAACAGAAGTCCTCTATATTCTGTCTTTACCATTTTGGCTACAGAAATGGCAATCCTCTGTAACACCTGTTTTCATTGTTGTATCTGTTGATTATTGTATAATCCAGAATTAATTCACTTTGCCAGTTGCAATGTCATATCTATTAAGAATTATGATAATTTCCCTAAGCTTAGAGTACTACTACATGATGCATTAATTCTCAGTGAGATCAGTTTCTTAATATAAGCTAATGAACTCTGAAGACTCAACATCATCATCATTAACAAGAAGCTCCAAAAGATACAGAGGATTATATTCAATTTACATTCAAATTGTTGAAATAAAAATTCATGAAACTTGAAAAGATTTTTGTTTCTGGACAAACCCTTCCTTACCTTCCTTCTATATCCGAGAAAATGGAAAGAAGTGCTATTTGGAGCTCTGAGACAGTGTAGGCATATATCCGGTAGTTTGTTTCAATCACTAAGTAACCCTGCTTAGGAACATCAATGTTGCCCTGAAAAGAAGACATAATCTGATATTGGCATGTGTTCACTTACTATTTATTATCAGGAATGATTTTGGTGATTCTTATTGTACTGCGCACATCATTGTCATTCCTAAAAACCCACTTTAATTCATATTACGCTACATAACATTCAAATCCACAGCGCTTGTAGAATCTCAGGAGAGACGTGTTTTTCCCATCCGTTTTACACTCAGGATCACTCCCAATAAGTCCCGCCTTCGAACACAGTCATCACTACGTTTATTCCACTCTCTACTGGCAAACGCCATCTTGAATTAGTCTGTGTAAATCAACTTTAGTAATTCGCCAGACCTTTGACAACTGAGGGTCATCCTTGAAAGAGTAACAGTTAGATTGTTTGTAATTTCTGTCATTGCGTGAGTAGCGATCGCTGGCAACTCGGGGGTATATAAACCAGTGCGAGGCGGGAGGAATAAACCTCCCGTATCACCTTTCACCTTCGTTCTCAGGTATGTTCTGTGTTTATAACCATTCAGTTTGATTCAGTCTATTGTAGTGAATATCAGCGTTCATGCTTTAACAGTGGAATTGTCATTCACCCAGTGTAAGAAGTAATATAACGTAAATATGTCTGTCGTTCCCAGACAAGAAGATTTGTTTGTAACCCACCATGCTTCCCAAAAACCTCCCATATCACCTTTCACCTTCGTTCTCAGATCGACGGTGGGCTTAATTGAAACCCACCGGTCGTTCGGAGCCGGTGGATACCCAGCAGTGGTCAATATATGAGTGATGGCACTGATTCGGCACGATTAATCGGCTCCACTCTACCTCGTGGGCCGAGGGCCCCAGACCCGCCTCGTGTCGGAGTGTAACCGACCACAACAGCAGTCATCAGTGTTAGAGGCACCAGTGCTATACCCTGGGACTTGCCTTGGAGTTATGTTCCACATTTTCGTTGTACTGTATGTGTTTGTTAATAATTACCCCATGTTGGGTAGTGGACCCATGTCGGTGTTTGTATCAGTATTAGTGTGTTGTGAGTGCATCTCCTATACCCTACCAACGGTCTGTGAAGCATCATATGCCAGTTGGTCTTATAACTGGATGTAATGAGAAATACCTAGGAATGTGGGAGAAGTAAAGTAATCTGCAAGGAGTTGCCATGTAACTATGTATTGTGAGTAGGGACAAGGAACTGGTCCTGCTATGTAATGTAATGTGACACCAGTAAGAGTGTGCACGGTAAGAGTGTAATATCTGGGTAATTGCTGTTGAGTAAATAAGAAAATAAGGAAACAAGTAAATAAGAAATACGGAGTGCAATGAGCCCACCAGTTGAACCTTGTAGTTATATGTTAATAATATCTCTTTTCCCCTTTGATTTTATATTAATAATCTTGTTCAATGAGTATTTTAGGAGTATTCATTTCTCCCACAGTAATTACCTTTATTTCCGTCCAAGTGACCCTGATATCAGAATTACACTACCCATGTGCCTAGACCATCGACATGCAACCAAACAGAACTGAGGTTAGGTAGTACCAAAAATGAACTGAAGTAAGTAGAAGGAACATTTGAAAGAACTAAGACATGTTGTGGTTTCACCCTTCTTTCCCCTTATCGATCTGGTCAATGAAAAACCTAACCCAATGCCTAGTCCACTCTACCCGCTACCTAACGAGTTACATACTGTCCAGAGAGGGTCTGGTGACAGCGACCCTTAGAAATTAAGATTAGATTTAAGTATTTCCCCTTAGAATTAGTGACCCCAGTCTGGCAGTATATTGTGTTACAATTATAAAACACAACACATTAAAAGCCGAGCTGAGTAATGTACTCTTGTTCAGCATGCACCGGCACCTGATCACACAAACGAGCAATTTGCTAAATTAAAAAAATTTAAATCGAGGTTATTAACACCTACTGCTGTGCCCTGTTTGTTTACAAAACTGACAATCACTTGCTTGACAACAATTATTTCCAGTTTCGGAATAATCAGAGATACAACTTAAGACACTCAGAGCTACTAAGACCATCCCCCTCCCCCCACACACTCCTCTCAGTCCCATACCTACTTAAAATATCAAGGTGTGAAGGTGTGGAACAACTTACCCCCACCTGTCACAGCAAAGACTACGCTCCCTTCCTTTAAATCATCTCTGAAAAAATATCTATTGTCTTAAGTACTAATATTTTTGGTAATACTTACTTTATATTCCTGCTTTTATTGTACCACTAAAACCGTTTTATCAGAAATTGCCATGTAGATACGTAGATAGAAATTACCAACGCAATAAATATATTTGCCAACTAGACATAATCCTGACAGCTCTGTCCTCTTGTTCAACCTTAATACAACCCATGTTGTACTGCTTCCTTCATCATATTTATGTTTTCATTTCCACTGTAAATTATGTATATAATTTTAATATAAATGTAAAAAATAATTAAAATAAATAAATATCGAAGTGATAACCGTGGTAACATTCTGATATGTTCTTATTACCACCATGCTGTGTGTACTATTCCAGATGATACTAAATGTTACATAATACAGGTTGTACCTCTCTAGTCCGGCAACCTCGGGACCTGACCGGTGCCGGACCATGGAAATTGCCGGACCATGGAAATTCACCCTTTTCCTGGATAGATAGTGACTTGTGCTTATGCTTGGAAGCACAAGCACCACTTTCTCTGCATCATGGTCTCTTTGAAGACATATTGAAGGGTTAAATGTCGTATAGTAGCGTCTCAAATTTCGCGAGTTTTTAATTCTTAACGTATTTTATTGGAACACAAAAAAATAAATAAATAAAAATTTTGACGGAGGAAACTTGAATTTCGACGGGTTTGAACTGCCCGCCAACGTGCATAATCGTGTAAACAGCGTCATTTCTCTGATGTACAAAAGATTCATTATTGTTTATTATTGAATGTCTTTTTTATTGAATTAATGTTTATGTGTGCAAAATGAGCAATACAATTCATTAATAATACGTAGAATATTAAAATACATGAGGAAATGAGACAGCATTGTTTTCGTTGATTACAAAACCAGTGACTGACTGGTTCTACATATAAAACTGAAGAAAATAAGACCTTGGTTGTAGCTGTAGTAAAACTAATATGGTTGTTTTAAGTAATGTTATTTAATGTTAATAAATGGAACAATAGCAGTAGCTAACGATAATGGTGAAGAAAAAAGAGAGATCGCGTATGTAAGTGCGCATGCGCACACGTGAAAACATATCGTCATTACTTTGCATAAGAATATGAAAGAAACACTTATTTACTGTTCATATATATTTTAATTAATGTTTCTGAATTTGTTTTTATTGAATTAATGTTTGTGTGTGCAATATTAGAGGAGACGAGACGGCTGCCGGCATTGTTTATGTTAAAGCTTACAAAACCAGTGACTGATTGGTTCTACATATAAAACTGAGAAAATAAAACCCTGATTTTAGCTGTAGTAAAATTAATGTAAAAAAATTAATATGGTTGTTTGAAGTACCTGTAATGTAATTTAATGTTAATAAATGGAACAATATAAGTAGCTCACCATTAATGGTAAAAAAAAAGTGAGACTGCGCGTATGTAAGTGCGCACATGTGAAAACATATCGTCATTACTCTACATAAGAATATGAAAGCAACACATATTTACTGCTCATATATATTGAAAGGTTAAATGTTGTACTCTGTATAGACAAGCAGAGAGAGAGAGAGAGAGAGAGCAGCCGAACTGACGGATGTAAACAAACCTTAATTTCCTGCGGCTTTGTTTTTTTTTGTTTTTTTACGGGAATTAGCCCACCCGGGCATAGATCACTGACCCACATTGGGGTCTGAGGAGCAAAAATTTAATACTCCTGTAATAATAATAATAATTCAGATAAGTTAAAAAAAAAAAAAAAAAAAGCTGCCTATCTACCTATTGGACAAACTAAAATCGTTCCGGACCACAGGAGTTTCCGGACCACAGAATGCCGGACTTGAGATAAATGTACAGTATATATCAGGTGCCTACAAGAGAGCTCAGGCTCTCAACTGGCTCAGCCATGCTAATATTATAATCTTTAATCGACTCTGTATCTGTGTTCTTCTGGCTAAACAATATCAATATTTTGCCCAATCCTTGGATCATGCTCTTACAGACCCCACAGTTTATAAATGTTAACAAATGCAAATCAATTGCACCTTTGGTGAAAATGGGGTTTCATTTGAGGGTCTTAAAATATTACCTTAAAATTCAATCAATTCCCTTAAATACTAATACCGTACCCTGTACTTCTTTGACATAATCAAACTCTGCCCTAATGGGATCAGTCTTATGGAGCCCAAAGCTTTGGGTTACATCTTCATTTACATTAAAATCACATCTTATTAGGTCCTAATAGTCCCTGATTAATGACACAAAGATGTTAGTAGTAAATCTTCATTTTCTATCACAATTATTGTACAGTAGATCTTATCAGAATGTGGGACCCACTGAATGTCATGCTCAGATGAGCCACCTTATTTTCACCTAAAGTTTGGTACCAACATTAATTTTCCATTAAAACTGGCATATATTAGGAAATAAGACACATTAATAGCACACTTGTATACAGTATAATCAAGATCAATTGGATCCTTATGAGGAAAGCACTAAAAAAATTCTAAAAAACGTTTCTATCTCTCCTCTCTCTCTCTATGTGCACATATTATACCAGGTAGGCTCAGTAAAGTGACCTATGTTTGGGCTGTTGACTGTTGAAACATGGACTGGGTGGCACTACAATCTAAGTTATTCTCAAGAATTTACAAGAAAACACCAAAGATTTATTTTTAGAAAACATCTACAAGGTTGGAGTAATTTGTTGCGTATACAGGACAGTATAGTCTGCATTTACGCGGTTTTTGTTTACGCATTTGGTCATTTACACGGCACCTTGCCAGAATGAAATGTTTTAATTATGCGGTAAATTTCATCATTTACACGGGTGAAGTATAATTTGTTTATTTACTGAAGATATTTGTTTTTAGCTCATAAAATTCATGGCATTTTTTTTTTTTACGGGTATTACCCCACCCAGACACAGGTCACCGATCCACATCAGGGCCCGGGGGGCAAAAACGTAATAACAATAACAATAATAATAATAATAATAATAATAATAATAATAATAATATTAATAATAAAAATAATAATAATTCAGATAAGTAAAATTTATAATAAAAATAAAAATAAAATAATGATAACAATAATAATACTGAAAATGCTGCAATAATAATAAGGAACCATAAAGAAATTAAAAAAAAGATCATTAGAGAGAAACGATATATGTATGTTGTGTTGTCAATAGCAAGAGAAACAATTGAGACCCCACAATTGTGTGTAAATGAGGCAGAAAGTCAGATAAGCAACCTGGGACTTGGTCACAATTTTTGCAATGACATATAGCAGCAGGGTCTACCATTAGACAACACATTATGCTTCCAATATCTTCCCAGGCGGTAGAAATTACCCAGCCACAATATGATTTACATTGCTGGAATTCTTATAACATGGTGATTAATTTAAATATAAACATCCTAAAATTTGCATTAGGCATACAAATTTTGGATGTAATTTAAGAATTTTATTAGAAAGAGCAAAAATTTTATCTTTTGTGTAAAATATATGACGTTTACTGTATATTCAAATTATTGGCAATCTTGCAAGGAATCCAGCAATGTCAATTATATTATCCTAACTTTAGTCTGAGGTATTATTTATTACTAAACATGTAAGCCTAATGTTTTTCCCCAAACATTTCTCTGGTAGGGAGGGAAGGTGGGGGTAGGGAGGGAAGGTGGGGGTAGGGAGGGACCCAGCGAACGTGGGAAGATTGACAGATATTGTCTGGGTGAAGTATAATTTGTTTATTTACTGAAGATATTTGTTTTTAGCTCATAAAATTCATAGAAATTACCTGGCCAGAATATAATTTACATTGCTGGAATTCTTATAAGATGGTGATTAATTTAAATACAAATTTTAGATGTACATGATTTAAGAATTTTATTAGAAAAAGCAAAAATTTTATCTTTTGTACAATATATATGACGTTTATATTCAAATTATTGGCAGTCTTGCAAGAAATCCAGCAATGTCAATTATATTATCCTAACTTTAGTCTGAGGTATTATTTATTACTAAATATGTAAGCCTAGTGTTTTTCCCCAAACATTTCTTAGAGAGGGAGGAGCCAGCGAGCGTGGGAAGAGGTGGGGGAGTTGAGTCCATTACTTGAATGAACATTAACCGGGCGACTGTATTTCTCTTAAATATTAATTGCATGTGCATACTATCATAAAATTAAGATGTCATTTTTACTACAACATAGGTAGTGTCGGAAAAAGTGGAGTTTGGGGGTTAAGCCCAGTCTCTATTTCAATTAATCCCATATGTTCTGTTATTTCATTTACGCGTTTCTCGTTTTACTCGGACCTCCACGGGTTCAATTGACCGCGTAAATGCAGACTATACTGTACTTGACTGAGGTGTGAGGGATGTTATTTTTTCTCTGTACAGCTCTAGAAGATATTGTTGTTTTTCCAGTTCATCAACTGCCAGGCATTGTCAAGTTCAACAACATCTAGCAACTAAATTTTTTCAGTACCTAATGAGCCATACATTCACTTCACAATGAATTAAGATTATCTTTGATTTGTGTCATTTCTTTAATTTGTAATTTATTATCTTTTCTTAATTTCCTCCTATTTTCTCCTATTCAGTATACTGTATACTTATAGGAAACTTCCCTCTCCTTTTTTTTCACCTACAATTAAATTTCAAGAAGTAAATATAGTAATGGCTGCTTTAACTTATAAATAGTACCGTAAAGCCTGTCATGGGAAATTTTTTCAGCAAATGGCAAGCATTCCTAGTGAGCATACCCAAACCTAAAATGGTATAAAAATGGTGAGTAACAAAAGTTGAGGATATTATTGAAGAAACCTTAAGATAGATAGGAGGGAGGGGAATGGTACATGTATAGTGAAAGACAAGAACAAAAAATAAACTAATACTGTAAGGGCAGATCATTCATGATAAAATGATTGACACAGTGATTATGATTATAAGAAGCTCGCACCTTATTCTGTCCAGCAGTGATGTTGAGCGCTAATCTTGTAGGATAAAATCTGCCAGAACTTCGTTTGCGTAAGTATACCAGACCAAATTCCCGAAGATGTTGAAGGAAAGTTAAGAGCTCATTGTCCATACCCTCCATGCTGTAATCCTGAAACATTCATACATACATTTCTATCTGTATATTACAGAACATTAAGAAGTAGAAACACTAAACATGACATATCATCTGGGGTAGAAGTGGAATTCTCAAGTATTTGGTCAGTCAATACTGAAACTTGGTCTGTGTTATAACACACTGTAGCCCACTAAATGTTGTATCAACACACACACTGTAGCATACTAAGTGTTATAACAACACACACTGTAGCCCACCAAATGTTGTATCAACACACACACTGTAGCATACTAAGTGTTATAACAACACACACTGTAGCCCACCAAATGTTGTATCAACACACACACTGTAGCATACTAAGTGTTATAACAACACACACTGTAGCCCACTAAACGTTGTATCAACACACACACTGTAGCATACTAAGTGTTATAACAACACACACTGTAGCCCACTAAATGTTGTATCAACACACACAATGAAGTACAGTATACTAAGTGTTATAACAACACACACTGTAGCATACTAGGTGTTATAACAACACACACTGTAGCCCACTAAATGTTGTATCAGCACACACAATGAAGTACAGTATACTAAGTGTTATAACAACACACACTGTAGCATACTAGGTGTTATAACAACACACACTGTAGCCCACTAAATGTTGTATCAGCACACACAATGAAGTACAGTATACTAAGTGTTATAACAACACACACTGTAGCATACTAGGTGTTATAACAACACACACTGTAGCAGACTAGGTGTTATAACAACACACACTAGCATACTAAGTGTTATAACACACACTGTAGCATACTAAGTGTTATAGCAACACACACTGTAGCAGACTAAGTGTTATAGCAACACACATTGTGTGCCTCCACGAGCCCACGCATACAATCACTTGCCCCACACACCCATGCTCTTACTTTTTCTTATTTTATAGTTTTATATTATATTTTCTTTATTTCTAAGCCACATTTAAGTATTGTAATGATTTTCCACACCTTTTATAGTTTCATTACATGTAAAAATGGCAACATGCCATCTCCACAGAAGTTATTCCTCGTTATCCCTCATTTAGTGATAATTCAGTTAACATTAGGTTTTCAGGAATGCATCCCCATCATTAAACAAGGGATACCTGTGCACTTATTAAAATTATAAAGGTTAGGCCAAAAATAATAACATTAGGTGTAATATCTTCTACAGGTTGTATCTCTCTAGTCCGGCAACCTCGGGACCTGACCGGTGCCGGACCATGGAAATTCACCCTTTTCCTGGATAGATAGTGACTTGGCTTGGAAGCACTAGCACCACTTTCTCTGCTTCATGGTCTCTTTGAAGACATATTGAAGGGTTAAATGTCGTACAGTAGCTTCTCAAATTTCGCGAGTTCTTAATTAGACGTTTTCTATTTGAACACAAAAAAAAACAACACATTTAAAAATTTTGACGGCGGAAAGTCGAATTTCGACGGGTTTGAACGGCCCACCAACGTTCAGACGACGTGCACAATCTGTACACAGCGTCATTTCTCTTATGTACAAAAGATTCATTATTGTTTATTACTTTAAGTCTTTTTGATTGAATTAATGTTTGTGTGTGCAAAATGAGCAATACAATTCATTAATAATACATAGAATATTAAAACAAGAGGAAATGAGACAGCATTGTTTTCGTTGATTACAAAACCAGTGACTGACTGGTTCTACATATAAAACTGAAGAAAATAAGACCCTGATTGTAGCTGTAGTAAAATTAATATGGTTATTTTAAGTACTGTAATGTTATTTAATGTAAATAAATGGAACAATAGAAGTAGCTAACGATAATGGTAAAGAAAAAAGAGAGATCGCGTATGTAAGTGCGCATGCGCACACGTGAAAACATATTGTCATTACTTTACATAAGAATATGAAAGCAACACTTATTTATTGTTCATATATATTTTAATTAATGTTTCTGAATTTGTTTTTATTGAATTAATGTTTGTGTGTGCAAAATTAACAATACAATTTATTAATAATACGTGGAATATTAGAGGAGACGAGACGGCTGCCGGCATTGTTTATGTTAAAGCTTACAAAACCAGTGACTGATTGGTTCTACATATAAAACTGAGAAAATAAAACCCTGATTTTAGCTGTAGTAAAATTAATGTAAAAAAATTAATATGGTTGTTTGAGGTACCTGTAATGTTATTTAATGTTAATAAATGGAACAATATAAGTAGCTAACCATTAATGGTAAAAAAAAAGTGAGACTGTGCGTATGTAAGTGCGCACATGTGAAAACATATCGTCATTACTCGACATAAGAATATGAAAGCAACACTTATTTACTGCTCATATATATTGAAAGGTTAAATGTTGTACTCTTGTATAAACAAGGAGAGAGAGAGAGCAGCAGAACTGACGGATGTAAACAAACCTTAATTTCCCGCGGCTTTGTTGTTGTTTTTTTTACGGGGATTAGCCCACACGGGCATAGATCACTGACCCACATTGGGGCCTGAGGGGCAAAAATTGAATACTCCTGTAATAATAATAATAATAATTCAGATAAAAAAAAAAAAAAACCTGCCTATCTACCTATTGGACAAACTAAAATCGTTCCGGACCACGGGAGTTTCTGGACCACAGAATGCCAGACTAGAGAGGCACAACCTGCAATAAGAAATAAGACCACCAATAAAAACAATAAAATAAATTGTACATACAACTCACCTTGCCAAGAATTGAGAAAGAGAGTTTGAAAAGGAATGTGAGGCAGGCCACAAGGCTCAGACCTCGCTCCGTCACAGTCTCTAAATACTTCAAAATGAAGAACCAAACTTGAGAGGCCGTGTCAAGAAGTAAAAACTGGAAGCCTGAACTTGTTATCTGCATATTGTCTGATTCATCACTGCTGTAAATATCATGCAATACAATAACATAACAAAATCCCTCATAAAAAGACCACAGTATAGTATTACCCCTCCATACCAAACTTCGCTATACAGTAGGGTCTCAAAGTACAGGTAACCAGAGTACGCAACCCCGTTTATACTAGGTTGATCCCCTGTTAAGCCCTTGCGCGAGCTAATCCACCCAGCACCTCTCGCTGCCTTTAGCTCTATCGCGTGAGAATAGTCTCCCCCCACCCAGTGTCCCTCTTATTTATCAAACTTCATAATCATATATTTTTTTCATAATTTAAACATTTATTGTACTTATTCAATTATCCATTTTGATGGTGCAGCTGGTTGGGCTTATTGCCAGAAGGGGCTGCCGAAATATATTATGACCATGATAATAATCTCACTAGCTAGTTCATGAGCCTCAAACCGCATCTCACCGAGGCATCACCCAAGTGTGCCTCTCTTTCTCTTGCTCTGGTTCCATCAACATCTCCCAGGCATGTGCGCTCGTAAAGTTTTCTCTATTGTCGAATTTTACCGTAATCATAGTACCCTAAGAGGAAATTTAGTAGCAGAGCTCATAGTGGTGATAGTGGGACACATAAAAAAGCACATACTGTGAGAAGTTTTGAAGAACAAGTCAAGATATTGGACTTATTAAGGAGTGGCGTATCTAATTGAAGTTGCACGTCAGTTCCACATGAATAAGTCATCCGTGCGCTCCATCAAATGTCGTGAAAACGAGATACGCAAAGTCGTTCTGATTCTTCTTCTATAAAATTTATATTTATAAAATTTATATTTATAATACTTATGCACATACATTTATCATTTAAGTTTTTTTTATTCTGTACAGGGTACATGGTTTGTGAGAGTTCATGCAGTTGTCTACTATGGGAAGGGTTACTCTAGAATAGAAAACAGGTTTTATGTACTGTATATATACAGGGGAGACCCAAATATAAGTGAAATTTTTTTCTTACGCAAGGCTTCCAGAATGTAACCCTTGCGTACTTTGAAACCCTACTCTATATCGAACCCCTCTTCAAATATCTCAACAAGAACAATATAATACTGTAATACAATACTCTAATGTGACTTGCAAATAAAGAGAATATTATATAAAACCATAAATAAGAAAAATGAGGAGTGGGAAGTTAATTCTGTGTGGTTGAGAAGGTAGGAAAGGTTAGTTGGTGGCTGGTCTGACCGGAATATTCCCCTTCTGGCCCTGCACCCCCTTTAAATGAAAGCAAGTTATTTCACCATAATACTGTACCCATATTACAAGGGTGGCCAGAATTGCATAACCTAAGAGCCACACACGATAATTTTTGTGTCTTCGTAAATATTTGGCCAAAACAGGGAGGAAAATCTGTAAAAAGTCTTGTGTTACAAAACTATATATTATATAAGAAAGAAATCCATTATTGTGACAATTTATCTGGGCTAAAAATACCTTTTTCTCATATATACCAAATTTTTGGATGAGCTTTTCAGATTCGCTTTATACAAAAAACTCCCTATATACCTAACTGGTTGTTTACCAATTATTTTGATATGAGAGGTAATACTGTATAACTATGATAAACATTCTTATCCACAGAACTACTGGATGAATCAGACAGGCTCTTCATAACCATCTCTGTACACCTTTGCAAATTCTTCACTGAAAAACTTTGTACTCCTTTATCCTCACTTGAAATACACAAATGAGTGACAAACATGTAAAAAAGTGATTAAAGTGAGTGAATCATTTGAAAGATATAAATGAAATATTTTTTGTGGGAAAAATGTATCATACATGCCTTTCAATAAGACCTGCATGAAGCAGAGTGCGCATGGCATCTCGGGAGATGGCTGTTTGACCCTGGCCTGGCTGCACAAGAAACTGAAGAACACTTTCCCATCTATCCATCGCATATTTGTCTAGAAACTCAACATCTCGTTGATGTGGATCTGAATCTAAAGCAGCAGACATGGTCCATGGTTTTCCCCTGACAAGAGAAAATAATAATACTGTAATAATAGGGATAATGTTTATTAGTAGGTGTATATTTCTTAACTTCAGTATGGAACTGAGTAGATAAGAGTTAATGAACATCTCACACCAATGACCCAATAGATAAGGTCAAAAGTTTAGTGCATCAGAGTACAGTATAAAGTTATATACAGTACACTTCTGCCATTCATTCAACTTAATATCTGAAATAATAATAGAACATTAATTTAAAAAATATATACAGTATTTACTAACAGTATTTAAAACACTGGAATTCTTCACTATATTTCAAAATGAGAATATATTTTCACACTCACAAGTCATTTTCCAAGTTGCAAATGGTAGCCCAAAACAAGAGAAGCATTCACCAGCATTTATTCATTCTTGGTACCTTAGGAGATCAGTTTTCCTATGGTGTCTCTCTTCCACAAGGTCCCACATTATGTGAACACAGTACTGTATACATCTTCAAATTATTAGTAATCATTTAGGCATATTCTCATACGTACATACACTTTCAGCACCTGATTATCATTTAAAATCACCCCTTGATTTTCAACACTCAAATGAGGCATGTGAACTACCAAGCCAAAAAAGAATAAAAAAATATCACAGAGTAGTACAAATCAATGCTTATTTGTGTCCTACTGACCAAGAAAGGGGTCTTGACATACAAAGTACAATAGGTGAAGTGGGCATACTAATTTTAGCACATCCAAACAGGTCTAATTTTCCTCCAAAATCTTCTGTGGTGTTATTTACTTCTACTTCAATATTGGAAAGGCGTATCCTTTTTAATTCTTGGCATTTTCAAACAATATGATTTTTTGTTTTTGGTCTGGCACCAAGTAGAAATACAGTAAGTGGAACTTTTATCAGATCAAATGGTATAACCAATAAGGAACTCAGTTAGATAGGATGCAAGAATGAAAATTGGATAACGGTATCTCAGTTAAAACTACTGTACCTACATACAAAGTCAAGATTACAATAAATATCCTACCAATTTCTAAGCAATGTAACAGAAGCATGTAATGAGAGAGTAACCACATTCCAACACTCTTACCCTCCAAGAATGGCCACTTTGAGGTTATCTCTGAAGGTGTTGCTTAGCCTAATGGCCAAATTTCCATGGTGGTCATTCACTTCCTGCCAAATAGCCATGTCAAGCAGTACCTGTGTCCCCTGCCGGTGTTCTGCAGCAATGTCCCCGAGATCCCTGTAATGTGAGGAGATGCCATTCGCACCTTTACTTATTGATAATTCTAAGTTCTTTCAATTCAATTCAATTCACTGTGGATTAGTTTTTTCTAAAGCATTCTAAACTTAATGACAGGATATGAATTTGAGAACTACCATCAATGAATGAATGTCTGGGTAAAACAATTCAAGGCAGTGCAATGAGGAGAATACATTGGGAATACAGTGGTCCCTTTGTTAATGAACACAATTCGTTCCAGAAGGTCGTTCGTTAACCGAAAATTTCGTTAACCGAAACCATTGTTTCCATGGGATTTTGGGTAATTGGTTCCAGCTCACCGAAAATTACATACAAACTAAAAATAAATGCAGTAAAGTACACTTACTTTGAGGTGTGCATGTAGAAGGCTCCTGGTTGATGATGATGATGGGAATTAAAATGGGGGTGGAGGAGAATGAGAAGAGAAGGCATTGGGGTGGAAGAGAAGTCACCCCATGCTGCCATTTCACCCATAAAATTTTATTTCACTTGGTGTAAGTCAAGATTATTTTCTTTAAATCAACACTGCATTGCAATATATATTATCAATATGTAAAATAAACTTCAGAATGACCAACAATTGTACTGTAAAAACGTAAAAATAGTTTATGTTCAAGAGAGAGTCAAGCAAGATGCTTCCTCCACTGAGCAGAGACACAAAGTGACGCCATTCTGGGGGAGTCAAGCGGCTGTTTGGCGCGTTAAAAACTAATTCCCTGTACTTCAATTATGTTAAATAATTGTTAAAATTACTAAAAACTTTAATATAAGACTTGGAAAATTATTGAATTGTACAAACTTCTTGATATTTACTTAAACGGTAAATAATTTAAGCCCTAAAACCGATTACAAGTACTGTACTGCATTGGAGGACTAATACTACAGCTGGTGAGCAGGCAAAAGCAGGGGAAAACATGTTTGGAAAAATTCGTAAGGAATTCGTTAACAGAAATTTTTTCGTTAACCAAAGTGAAGAATCTTATGGAAGGTAATTCGTTAACCGAAATTTCGTTAATCGAGGCGTTCGTTAAACGAGGGATCAATGTATTCTATTATAAAACCAATACTGTATTCCAGGCATGGGCAACCTTTCTTCAGCCATGGGCTTAACCCAAAAGTAATGTTAATGTTGTATTAGCACGGACAGTGAAGCAGTTTTTCATCACGTCCACCTTACAATACTGTAAGGTGGATGCACAATTGTCATGCATACCAAGCATTGGTCAGCCATGGTCAAGTCAGAATGTGACTGATCCTGTAATCTAACACCAACACAGAGGGTGACCTCACTTTGCCTGGAAACCTGACAATGATAATCTCACAAAATATGACGGTTGAGGATAACCTGATCACAAGAACTGAGGTTGACGAGTTCCACAACAATTTAAATAATGAGTTACTTAATGCACAAAGGCAAACCTGCCATTAGAAAACTCAGATCAAATAACAATGACCCCAAATGGATAAATTAGTATTAAAATCATATTATTGGCCAAAGGATGGTTGGAGAATAAATCGTGGTGAAATTTACCAGCTTTTTGTAGGCAAATTTCAGTGACCCAAAAGAGACATAAAACAAATCTCAAATTCATTCCTGAACCTCTAGTCAGCTACTTGTTTGAAGTGTGCAAGGTGAGACGAGTTAGTAATGTGTGGGCCGAATTGGTTATTTAAGATGGGCCGAGTTGGAGGTACACCATGTGTATAAGTAGACATTTCACAGTATAGGGACAAAATACCATTGAAAATATGAACTTTCAAATTCAAGAACATATCACCAAGTGTCTTTTGTCAAGAACATAAGGGCAATGTGCATACTCATACTGACTTGCCCGGCTCATGTTGAGGTTTCCACGTGGCCAGTAACACTTGAGGAACAGGTCTGGTCACAAACAAGAGTCGTAGGATGAACTGTTTGCTTAATTCTGGTAGTTCCCTGGAATATACATCACTCCATAAATTCATCCTTCCTCAGGCATCATCTTGCATAATCTAGCTACACCAAATACTTCAAAAGAGAAACCCACTACACTCAATGATAAGATTGTAAAGATGGATGAGAGAAGCAGAAGAGCAACATGACAGGATATAAGAGAGAAACAGAGAGCTAAACACCTTCATACCAAGAAATCCGAAAATTTATAAGATATATTTAATAAATCGAGATGAGCTGGGAAATGGGAATAAATTCAAGTAGTACACTGTACACACAAATGCAGCAGCAGCTTTCCAGCGGTCCGACTAATTACCCAAATGTACCCAAATGTAGCCAAAATGAAGTCAAATGATGATCCTACAAGCGTAAATCGGGCTGTGAATCATTTCTCGATTAGTAATTAGTGTCATGGTCACAAAAAATTGGTAAACTTAATTTAATCTGAGTTGAGTTGGGTTAGGTTAGGTACATGCACTCAATCTATTAACTCAGATTAAATTAAGTTTACCAATTTTTTGTGACTTCGTGACACCAAATACCAGTCAAGAAGTGATTGGCAGTCCGATTTATTCTTGTAGGACCATCATTTGACTTCATTGCGGCTACATTTGGGTACATTTGGGTAATTACTCGCTCCCTCGGTACATGCACGCGATCTATTAACTCAGATTAAATTAAGTTTTCCAATTTTTTTTTTACTTTGTGACACCAAATACTAGTCGAGAAGTGATTGGTAACCCGATTTATTCATGTAGGACCATTATTTGACTTCATTGCGGCTACATTTGGGTAATTAGTCGGACCCGCTTCCCAGCATCAGCAGCAGTGTTGTCATCCTTTCCATACACACAAAAAATTCCAGTGAATGTTATTATTACCGTACATTATATTTCGATTTAGGATAAGAGATAAGAACAAAACCTACCTAACCTAGCTATCATACGATGGCAGTACTAAGTTATTATTACTAAGCAGAGGGTATTTTGCCGTGACCTGGCTAAGTTCCTACTAATGCTACTCTACAGTGAGTGCGCTCTGATTGGCTAATCATCCATTACTGGTAAACAACATGAGAACTATATGCTGTGACTGGCGGCCTGACCTAACCAACCAAAGAAACCTACCTAACCTTACCTAATTTCATATTAAACAGAAAGTTCTTAGCCAATCGGAGCACACTCTTGGTAAAATAGCATTAGAAGGAACTTAGCCGGTCACGGCAAAATATCCACTATGTTATTACTATCATTATTTTAGGTTGGTTAGGCTAGCTTACATTAGGTTTGGTTAGGTAGATTTGTATCAGTATGGAGAGGAAGTAAGGTCAGTCTGTCGCTTAGTCTTTGGGTGGGTCAGTCGGTCACTGTGAAGCATTTTTCAATGGTAACTTTCAAACATGGAGTCGTTATGAAGTGGGCGAGTGGCAGCATCTTTATTTACAGGAAAAACTAGTGAAAAAATCAGAATACAAAAAGTGCTGTTTCCACCCAATTTACTCTATTCTAGAGGTACAAAATAAGTTTCCTTCTATAGAGATTTTTTGTTAGGTCGCAGGATAACCTGGGTCCTTGTTCTTTACTATTACCTAATCTAGGGCTTTGTGGCGTACAGTACAGTACTAATATTGAGGGAGCAGAAATGGCCTATTAATAAAATAAAGTATTTGAATAAAAAAGGATGCACCTGGGGCATACCAACAGCAAGGAGGCGTACCATATGTCCCAACGGGATGAAGAAACTGCACTATTTGAGATTGAATGTGAGGACCTAGGTGTGTATGTTGACAATGAGCTGAAGTTGTCGGGCCATAGCGAGAAGGTAAATCAGGCAAAAAAATTATTGGGTCTTATAAGAGGGTCGTTCAGATATCTAGACGGTCCGTCCCTCGTAACGATCTTCAAGAGTGAAGTGCTTCCCCATCTGGTCCTCAGTTGGTTGAAAATGTTCAAAGGAGGGCCACCAGACTGGTGCCTGTACTTCGGCACCTCAACTACCCTGAGAGATTGGAGCGCCTGAACTTGCCTAGCTTATACTACAGACGGGCAAGGGGCGACCTAATTAAGGTGTATAAGCATCTCAAGGAACATTACTCAGTCGAGTTTCCTTACTTAGAGCTGGCGGACACTCGCCCCACAAGGGGTCACAGCTCAAGGTTGATGAAGCCCAAGTCCAGAAAACTGTGAGGGCAAACTTTTTCGGAGTGAGAGTTGTGAACTCTTGTGACGGCACCAAGTGTGAGCTCTTTCAAGACCAGACTTGACCAACACTGGAGCAGGTTCAGGCGGTCCCACTAATTACCCAAATATAGCCGCAATTAAGTCAAATAATGGTCCTACATGAATAAATCGGACTGCCAATCACTTCTCGACTAGTATTTGGTGTCACAAAGTAAAAAAAAATTGGAAAACTTACTTTAATCTGAGTTAATAAATCGCGTGCATGTACCGAGGGAGCGAGTAATTACCCAAATGTACCCAAATGTAGTCGCAATGAAGTCAAACGATGGTCCTACAAGCATAAATCGGGCTGTGAATCACTTCTCGATTATTATTTGGTGTCATAGTCACAAAAAATTGGTAAACTCAATTTAATCTGAGTTGTGTTAGGTTAGGTTAGGTACATGCACTCGATCTATTAACTCAGATTAAATTAAGTTTACCAATTTTTTGTGACTTTGTGACACCAAATACTAGTCGAGAAGTGATTGGCAGTCCGATTTATTCATCTAGGACCATTATTTGACTTCATTACGGCTATATTTGGGTACATTTGGGTAATTAGTCGGACCCGGTTCAGGTACATGCCCAGTACAGTACTTGCCAACAGTGCATAACAGAGACGTGACCGATCAGTGGTGAAGAGGATAAAAATAAAAATCAAAGTAATACCATGGCCACTACACGGACCTCACCTAAATACCGCTAAACATGTTGCCGGGTGCCTGTAGAGTCTGTCTAGGACATCTTTTGTCAAGGATCTTAAATAATCTTGAAGATTTTTACAAGTCAATGTTTGTGTCCCAAATGTCGACATCCTTCCCCTTGAACTTCCTCTCGTCTCTGTGTGTTGTTGTGGTCCTAGAGACACTCGCAGCCCACAACCCGGATTCACCCTGGGTCTCTGAGTCTCTGTTCGCGCAGGGACTACTGACGAAGGCACTGACGTCCTCGTGATTCTCGTTACACTGTAGATAGCGTGATATTTAGTAAGATCATCATATTAACATCAAAATAAATAACGCGTCGCCGGATTAGTTATCAATATAATATTAATGACCAATCCGCCGACGCTTTTGAGGTGCTTTTGAAGAAACTTTTTTTAAAGTTACTAATGTAATACCAAAACGTTCTCTATGATGCCTTACCCTTCATTGATGGCGAGTCAATCGAAGGCCACGAAACAATAATAGTTTTTAAGAGGAGTTCAGTTTCATTCCGCTATATTCCTTGATATTAATGGTAATACTGAATTCATCATGAGCTGGACCACCTTAGCCACGGAGCAGCTAGCCTACCCTCCACGGAACACCAGAGAGGAGTGCTTGTGGGGAACGGATATTTGGGTTCACACTCAGGATGGGATGGAGAAAGGAAACTCACAATGTGCTCTCTGTATACATATTGTATTGGATGTACAATGCAGCTTGGTGCTGGGAAGTGGCAGCGTGGTTACAAGCGTGATGTAGAGAGAGCTGGTTGGTGAGGGTGCTCAGAGGAGGACCAGCTTGTGGGTCGCCATGCTCGCCGGCGGGAGCGAGGGCCGCCAGGCAGCGGCGGAGGAGGTGTTGCTTGTTGGTTGGTGTAGGTAGAAAGAGGTAGAGGTCACCACGAGGTCAGGTCTTTTATAGCGGAGGTAGGCGTGGGTAGATAGTTGAACCCCGCTCCGTGGGCGGCGCTGGTTGACCTAGACCACGAAGCATACACTGGGGAATTCGCGGGGTCGGCTACTCAGCGACAAACAGCGTTTGTAGGGGAGAAATCCACTACAATACTCCCTCCTTCCCTCCAGGCGGTGTAGGAGACTTGTTGTCTGCAGGGGTGCATGCCACATGTGAGCAATAACGGCGAGGGCGTGGATGAGCCGGCCGCTAGAGGAGACAACTGTCTAGATACACAATATCTAATAATAATAATAATAATAATAATAATAATAATAAACGGTTTATTGAAAAAATTCTGCAGCCCGAAGGCTGAAAATATACATTGGACATAAATGACTTATTACATACATTGGTGGTTTAATAAAAGCCTTCATTAGAGAAAGGTCAAGGAACATACAGTGAACATACAGATTAATGTAGGTGTTGAACAGCAAACTCGTAGTGTAGTAACTCCCTCCCAGATGGTGTTAGGAGGAACTCACGTGGTGTAGTAGTTCCCTCAGATGGTGTTATGAGGGACCTGGCGTGGTGTAGTAATTCCCTCGCAGATGGTGTTATGAGGGGCCTCACGTGGTGTAGTAATTCCCTCACAGATGGTGTTATGAGGGACCTCACGTGGTGTAGTAATTACTTCACAGATGGTGTTATGAGGGGCCTCACGTGGTGTAGTAATCCCTCACAGATGGTGTTATGAGGGGCCTCACGTGGTGTAGTAATTCCTCACAGATGGTGTTAAGAGGGGCCTCACGTGGTGTAGTAACTCCCTCACAGATGGTGTTATGAGGGACCTCACGTGGTGTAGTAATTCCCTCACAGATGGTGTGATGAGGGAATTGACGTGGTGTAGTAATTCCCTCACAGATGGTGTTATATGAGTGAGATTTGGTCTTAGGCCTTCCTATCGTAGACGGATTAACACATCGCTGGTTGTTGTTGGGTCTCACCGGCCGTTATCACTGGGTACCTGGGACCTCACTGTGTGAAGGTTAACTTGGGTACGACTGTTACTGTTGAGTTGTTCTCACTGACTTAAACACTGTTCACCACTGTTCACCTCTGTTTAACACTGGTTCCATTCCTTTCCTAAATGAAATTGTAACTTCTGGTTAGAACTTGTTGATATTCCGGTGGGGAGGAGGGTTCAGGGGAGGGGATTGGTATGGGCCAACTTAACAGTTGACCTGGCTGCTCCGAGAGGAGCGCCAGGTACGTCTTGACCCTTCGGTGGTCAGTGTGTGTGTGTGGGAGTAGAGAGGGAGAAAAAGGGTGTGTGGAGGCGATGAATGTTGTGCTTCCCTCACGCCAAGTACAGAGTCGTCAGTTGCGCCTGCTGGGGTATATGGGCCTGGGTCAGGAGCAGGGGCTGCGTCAGCAGAAGCGGATGAGGGCTCGTGACAGCAGCTGGGTCCATGACAGCAGCAGGGTGCAGGACAGTAGCAGGGGATACCTGCGGGAGAAAAGAGGGGTGTGTGGGTCCGCACTCAGGCACATGGGCCGCGTCGGGAGCAGGGGCTGCATCAGGAGGAGCGGCAGGGGGTACTGCTGGGCCGGGGGCGGCGTCTGAGGCAGGACGGGTGTGCTGGAGTCGGTAGGACGTGGTGCTTTGGGCAGGAAGAGGAGCGGCTGTCTGCTTAGAGTCGCAGAGCTGCTCTAGGGTGTCTAACCTGTGGTGTAGAGACAGTAGCTGTATAGCCGATGAGAGCTGCTTCTGGGTGGAGGAGTTGCTTGAAGACTGGGAGAGTGATCGGTTTCTCCTCCATCCTGTGTGAGTGCGAATCTCCGGGGGTCACCATTTGTGGGGTTATGGGTGGTTTGGTTCACACTCAGGATGGGATGGAGGAAGGAAATTCACAATGTGCTCTCTGTATACATGTTGTATTGGATGTACAATGCAGCTAGGTGCTGGGAAGTGGCAGCGTGGTTACAAGCGTGATGTAGAGAGAGCTGGTTGGTGAAGGCCGCCAGGCAGCGGCGGAGGAGGAGGTGTAGCTTGCTGCGGCTGTAGCTAGAAGAAGAGAGAGGTCACCACGAGGTCAGGTCTTTTATAGCGGAGGTAGGCGTGGGTAGATAGTTGACCCCCGCTCCATGGGCAGCGCTGGTTGACCTAGACCACGAGGCATACACTGGGGAATTCGCGGGGTCGGCTACTCAGCGACAAACAGCGTTTATAGGGGAGAAATCCACTACATGCTCTCACAGAGAAGAGTATTTATATTTATCCTTGGCTGGACATGGCCAAGGACGATACCAATACTGTACTTATGCCTTCTGACGTAAAAGGTGTGGAGGCGGACGTTGATGCCGGAGATGGCAGCTGAACGTATAGGAACCGAAGCGTTTGTTTAAGCACTAGTCGCAATCACAAATTATTATTCCTTTTTTTTCTTTTTTTACGGCCATCAGCCTACTCGGGCACAGGTCACCGACCTACATCAGGGCCTTAGGGCGAATAGATGATGATAATAATAATAATAATAATAATAATAATAATAATAATAATAATAATAATTACTATTAATTAATAATCAATAAAAATATAATAATAATAATAATAATAATAATAATAATAATAATAATAATAATAATAATAATAATAATAATAAATAATAAATACGAAAAAATAAATAAATAAATGAAGAGTGAGAAACGATATACTGTACAGTAAGTATGTTGTATTGGCAAAGTAAGAGAAACAAATGAGACCCTGCAGTTGTGTGTAAATGAGGCAGAAAGACAGATCAGCAAGTTCTGGTGGTCACAATTTTTGTGATGCAATATGGCAGCAGGGTCTACCAATAGACAACACCTT